TTTTAAAAGGTCGTTATATACTTTTTTTAAAAGTCCTAAACCATTTATATCTTTTTTTTTATGTATACAGGAAGATATTGTATCAGTCAAGGTTCAACTTGAAATTATGTCTTATTTTACATTTTTCCGAGTAAGCACCCCCTCTACCACCCTCAGCTTAATGTCTGAATCCGTTTTCGTACTTAGTTAATCATATACATGTCCTGTTTCTTACTGTATTAGCCATTTAAAAGAAGGCAAACAGTCAGATCATACGGTAGATGACAAGTTGACAAAGCAGTTTGAATACAATTTTCCTTTATTTATTCATATTGGACAATAAAACCTGACAATATCAGCACTGTTGATAAATATTACTCTTCTGCTTCTAATTTGATATGACCTACCAACTGTTTTGATTTGAGAGCCACGGATGTATCTTATGTATACGCATTGCACGTCTGGCGTATCAATTTTAAGCCTGGCATATTTGACGAGTTTTAATGCTAGGATTTTAAGATCAAACTAAGGCTAGACCTAAAAACAATATCTGAAAATGAAACAAGTTTGATGATTTGGTAATGTGTTGACACACAATCCTGCTGTAATGTCAATTATGGAAGGGTCGGGTTGGGGACTTTTGCAGACCTTAAAAGTATGTTATCTGAGTGATTGTTGATTTTCTGGGTCCAAGTGGAAATATTTTAGAAGGTGTATACAAAAAAAAAATCATTTTATTCAATTCATACAAACATTTTGTTTAGTTGGTTTTTTATCTCGATTTCCAGCAACCTTGGTGACTAGTTTTTATTGATGGATGTAGACAGCGTAACCAGGAAGAACCGCAGACCATTAGCAGAAAAATGACAATGTTTGTTAATTAAGACAGAAGTAAAATTAACCTTGCTACGAGCAGAGTCCGAACGCATGTCTTCAGAGTTGACAGACTAGTGATTACTGTAGATGAACTACTAATACTTGGACCAATCGGACAAATACAAAAAGTAGACGATGGATGAGATACGGAAAGAAGGTGTATCAGAAATATGGACACATTTTTAGCCTTATTTATTTTAGTCACACTTATCTTTTCTAACTTTACTAATAACTATTTAAAATGTGAAAGGAGGGCGATACTCCTTCAACAGGTGACTGTATATTCATACAATAGACACACACAAAAAAGGTCTTGCAGTCCTTATGGCAGTGAGGATGAAAAAAGAGGGACGAAAGATACCAGAGGAACATTCAAACTCATAGATCGAAAAACAAACTGACAACGCCATAGCCAAAAATAAAAAAAACAAACAGACGAATAATAGTACAGATGATACAACATAGAAAACTAAAGTCTAAGCAACACGAACCCCACCAAAAACTGGGGGTGATCTCAGGTGCTCCGGAAGGGTAAGCAGATCCTGCTCCACATGTGGCACCCATGAGGTATGCATACTTTTACATCTAATTGACCAGCCAAAGGGAACCACTTTTTGTCTACTCCATTACTAACGATTGGACTGAATCAAAATCAATGCAAAAATTAAGTATCCTGACAAGGCAGTATTCTATGGTCTTTTCTAAAAAAATAAAAGGTCCTTGAAAAGTTGATTTTTACTAACATTTTAACTCTTGATTCTAAAGCTTCCTTTTACGCTACATTCATCTTTTATGTTAAAAACACAGGCCTTGATATATTGTAACAACGGATTGATTTCGATATGTCCAATCTTCCAACAGTCTAGATGATAACCTCTACAAATAAACAACCTGTCTTAGGTCTGCTTGACTAGACCCAATTGAGAGCTTGAATTGTGGTGTAGAGAATTGTCTGCTTTTGAAAACCTTTTCGTGACCTCATGAGTTTATGTATCTTCAAGTTGATAAGATATTCTAAGAACTGTATTTCTTAACATGATACAATGCTGCTGCTTATAATGCGGCTATGGAATCGATTCTGATGTACTACTTAAACAATTTGGCTTCCGATGCCTCAATTGTACTGGTGAAATTTTAATTGTAAAATATATTGACGTGCGTAAAATGTTCGTAGAGATGACATCAGATTATTCATTAAAACCTCTAGTTTTGTAGTTTCTTTGTTAAGCTACAACATCTGAATGGTCAATGTCATTGATTAAAATTAATGTTGGAAAAATAGGAGTACCCGGATTAACAAAAGATCTTCAACGAAATCAATTAGAATAATTTGTATCGCTGACATCTGTGTATATAGACTGATGTTTCACCGAGATTACAATAAAATCCTTGCGCTTATGTAAGTATCTACCTGATTGCAGGAAAGGTCCCTTTGAAATCCAATTTAGAAATATTAGGTCAAGGCTCCACATTTTAGTTTATCTGACATCTTGGAGTTCAGAAGTCAGTACTTTTGTGTTGAAATAAAATATGATTGATTTGTTCATTTTCTGTAAATTTACTGTTAATAAAATATTGAATTATTCGAAAAACTGATTGTTTTCTATTCTCATGAATAGATTGCATTAGACGTATTTTGCACAACTTCGGTTTTTAATGCTCTTGTTTCGAGGGCATCTGATGTATCTTGTGTGGATGAAACGCGCGTCTAGTGTACCAAAATGTAAGCCTGGTATCTTGTTGAGTTTTTTCCGTCCGTGTGAAAATCAAACCTAAAATGAGTGTTTAGACGTAATAGGAAGAGAATAAGAAAGGAGAATCCTTGATAGATTTATTCACAACAGTTTAAATCTCGGAAAGGTTCAAAGCTTGACAATGTACGTTGAATTATTGAAATAGATCTCAAATTTTTTGTGTTGTTGGGTTGATGTCTCATTGACATAGAAACCACTACACCTTGTATGCCTTATTATAATAAGTAGTGTGCGAGCTCAAGTCTTTAAGTTGCATTTTATTTGGTGATGCATTACGGATCTCTGTGACCAGTACTTTTGTTTCAAATCGATGTGTCGTATGGCTCAAAGTCTTTAGAAAAAGTATGTCAACGTATAACTACAGTTGTTATCAGATAGTCCGTTTCTATATATGTTGGCGTTTGCTTTTGTTGTAGTGCAGTGTTTCTGTTGTTCTGTTGTTTTCCTTTTATAGTTGATGTGTTTCCTTCGGTTTTAGTTTGTTACCCGGATTTGTTTTCGCTTAATCGAATTATGACTATTGAACAGCGGTATACTACTGTTGCCTTTATTTACTACCAATACCAAAAGACTACTTTCCTGTAAAAGTAGAGTTTTGTATCTTGACTTAGAAGATATGAATATAATCAAATTAGTAATTTGATATCGCTCTATTTTTACGTTTTAATAAAAAGCAATTGTCACCATTGAGGTGGAGACACTGAGGTAAATAGGGAAAAGTAGAAACTTTTATGAAAAAATGTACATCCCTTTTCACTTTTTGTGAAGTGTACATGTACATCATACATACCAAACAATACTGGTATGCAGTGTTTCTTAGCTGACTATTTTGGAGGCAATGTTTAGAATGATAATCAAATAATCTGATATAGATATAAACACGATAAATTGTTAAAACTTGGAAATAAAAGACCACACGTATTAGATTTGAATAACTAGTTTGTAGCAGGTCTGGAACAAAAAATGACATTTATCATGAGAAGAAAGTTGAATTCAAGTACACAGTTCCACCCCCCCCCCCCCCTAACAAATGCAAGTCCTACAAATCTATTTACACTTTCTGTATCTGTGGTTTAAAACAATTGAGTGATGGAAATACCAAAAAAAAATAACAAAAAATGACTAACTTACTATCTAACGACACTCATGTCAAATAGATCGTTTATAAGTTATTCAAGTGTTAGTAGGAAATATTTTAAATGCCTTTGGTATTGTTATTCATTTTGACAAGATATGTCCAGCATGTCAAAAAAAATCAAAACGGAAAGTCCCTTATCGAATGGCAAAATCAAAAGCTCAAACACATCAAACATATTGAAAACAACTGCCATACTCCTCACTTGGTACAGTCATTTCCTTATGTAGAAAATATTGGATTAAATCTGGTTTTATAGCTAGCTAAACATCTCACTAGTATGACAGTCATATAGAATTCCATTATATTGACAACAATGTGTGAGCAAAACAAACAGACATTATAGGTAAAAATGTCAAAAATTGGGGAACAGCAGTCAACATTGTCATATAATCTTAATCACTATAAAAACAAATATCTTTTGCAACAAAGAAAAACAAAAAATGGCATATAGACACTCTATAGACAAAGTACAAAGTTATAATAGGGTTATTGAACGAAATATGTTCAAAAATTACATATTTTATATCCATGTATCGGAAATGAGCTATTATCTATTAATTATTATTAACTGTTAATTATACGGAATTTAAAGAAATCTTGAAGTCAGAATTTTGCAGACTATACAATGGTCTTAAGTGTTCTGTTTAATACCTTCTTACAATAAACTTTGTTTGAAAAAAGAAAAAAAAATGAATGCTGAATGCACCTATATTTTTTACTACAGGATTGAAAAGTAATTGGGGTCAGCGTAGGAATTTAGTACGAATCTAGTGTTTATAAAACAAAAGCCATGTGAATGGCCCAAAAATGCCGAACGGCCATATTCTTTTTATTGTTGCCAAAGATAGAGCTACCATTATACTAAAATGATTTATATATGAAAGCTTCTGATATCTTAAGGTACACTAGGTATCAATTTAGTTCATGAAATTGGTTATTGAAGTCAATGGGAGATGTTCTATTACTGAACTTACTACTGTCCATGAACACACGATTTCATGTATTACACGCCATGCAATATATAATCTTTTTCTGGTATTGAAAGGCACAAACTTGGTTAGATCAAACTTAGTAACAGCTGTAACCCACAAAACATTAAATCAATTACTGTTAACAACAAACTCAACGGAATACATAACCATCTTATAGTTACCAAAAGATGAGCAACAAAACAAAGTTATTAAAACACATCATAAATCACAATTTGTTCATTAACTTTAATTGTAGAACAATTTCGTTGTACCTGTTTTTAAAGTGAATACGAAACAGAAAGTTGCCGAATAATTCAATGCCGAAATACTCAATGATGGGTTGCCATATAAAATAAAGTAAACGTAACTCCAAGCGTCATTGGTGAGTCTTTTGAAGACGAAACGCGCGAGTTGCATCCAAAAATGTTTAGCCTGGTATCTTTGGTGAGTTTATTTGCAACCATTGGGTCGATGCCACTATTGGTGGAGGTTTCCTCCACGAGGGTATCACCAGCCCTGTAGTCAGCCCCTTTGATTGATATCGTCATAATTAAAAATAAGATGTTTACAAAACTTTGAGTTTTTCGAAATACTGAGGATTTTCTACTCCAGTAATAGATTACCAAGCTGTACTTGGCAAACCTTTCGGAATTTTGGGTTCTCAATGCTCTTTAACTTCGTACTTTGTTTGGCCTTTTAAACTTTTTTGATACGAGCGTAACTGATGAGTCTTTTTTAGACAAAACGCGCGTCGGCCGTACAAAATGTTTAAATCTGGTATTTATGATGAGTTTATGAACATAAATGAAAATAGAATTTAAAAAACTACAGTAGTGAGGAGGAATCTTCAGCATTTAGTCATCTATCGTCCAAAGCGCGATAATTACAAATGTGTAATGGAAATATAATTAACACAGATATACTATTGATGTCATTCATATTTCATAAAAGCGTCATACTAGTAATATACCATGAAGTTCATATATAACTTCGATGAAAACTTATATCAATACAATAATCGATATTACAAGTACATGTTCGTATTCAAATTGATGTGAATAAATATAGCTACATATTATATTCATTAATTTGTGTTCATACTATATGGTATACAGACATTTCCAATGCTCCTCCACATTTATAAGCACTATCTCCATTACAGTCGATGTTACATGATGATGCCTGAATTCCGCCAGATATAGTGGTTCCACAGAAACACTTATTTCCACCCTAAAATATTATGAACTAAAATATCAAGGTTTCATACACATTGAGTATCTGGAAGCATTGGATATTGAGAAATACGAATTAAAAGCAGAAGTTTTGTCTTTATAACCTGAATACTAACTAATTCTAAAGATCGATTGATTGTTGGATGATTAACGTTTAGTGACAAATATTTCATGCATGTTCAGGACGGGAACAAATTTACAATTAATATAATAGGTAGGTCCTGTCATAGATGCCGTCGGGGATAAAGGTCGTGGCAATTTAGACTGCCACTGGAAAATGAGAGTTAATTGAATAGAAACCCCTCAAAGAGTTGTTGCAAAGGTTCTTAACGTGCAGAGAGCAGGGCATTCGCACTACACGAGGCATCGGAATAAACGTTCCCATTTTGACCGGACTTGGCTTCGTATTTGTACATCCCACACAGCCAAACGGACGCCTCACTTTGGCAAGGGTTTTACTGCCGGTCAGAAAAAGACTTTAGTGACGATATTTCTATTCCTCAGTCACCCTTGGGGTATTTTAAAGGAATCGTTACAAATAGCTGATAAATGAAACATCGTTAAATTAACCGAGTACTTATTTCTATCAATAATTTAAGTGTTTGCCAAATTATAAGAAGTTCAAAGTAAAGAAAATAGTCAGCGACACTTACAGGTTACTAGGCACTTTATTTTGATCAAGCACGCAGTGATCTAAGTAAGTCATTTCAGATAATTTTTCAACGGTATATTGGACATATAAGATCATAAAATCATTTAACTATCTTATTGTTGTATAATCCTTCAATAAATAATTTGTTATGCATCTAATTGAGATAAAAAAAAGTAGGATTTAAAACAAACCAATTACAACCATTTTGCTTTGACCCGACCACCAAAAAAAAAAAAAAAACCAAAACAATACAAAACAAAACAAAACAACAAAACTAAACAAAACTAAACAAAACAACAAAACAAAACAACAAAACAATACAAAACAAAACAAAACAAAAGGACAACAGATGAAGTCTTCGGCTGTTACAAGTTCACGTGTGGCATTTCCAATTGTTTATAAATATGATCAATTATGTCAATATAAAAATTGTGTCAATTTTAGAATTGAAAACGAAATGTGTTCTTCCATTCAACTTCATTCTGACTTAACCAAGCAATTTCAATGGATATTTGAGTTTAAAACGTAACCAAATTATACAGAAACCAGATGAAGAGATGGTGTTGACCTTTACGAAGTTTAAAAGATAGTTGCATTTTAGTAGGTTTGTTTCAACATTTTCCCCATCAATATATAATGTGCTGAATAAACTCATCATATATACCAGGATTGAAATTTTGTATTAACGCCAGATGAGCGTTTCGTCTACAAAAGACTCATCAGTGACGCTCGAATAAAAAAAAGTTAAAAATGCCAAATAAAGTTCGAAGTTGAAGAGCATTGAGGACCAAAAATTCCTAAAAGTTTTGCCAAATACAGCTAAGGTAATCTATTCCTGAGGTAGAAAAGCCTTAGTATTTCAAAAATTCAAAGTTTTGTAAACAGTTAATTTATAATTATGAAATAGAGAATGGAAATGGGGAATGTGTCAAAGAGACAACAACCCGGTCAAAGAATAAAAAACACAGCCGAAGGTCACCAATGGGTCTTCAACACAGCGAGAAAATCCCGCAACCGGAGGCGGACTTCAATTGGTCCCTAAACAAAAATGTGTACTAGTTCCGTGAAAATGGACGTCATACTAAACTCCTAAACATGTAAATAAACTAAAATTAAAAACATACAAGACAAACAAAGGCCAGAGGCTCCCGACTTGACCATATCATATATAGTGATGTAAATAGATGTGTACATAAATCCAAAGAATACATTACCTCAAGTCCAGCGTAACCAAATGTCATTCCGATACATTCTTCCACACAAGCCAGTGGAGTAACAAGGGCAAGGTTCTTTTCAAAGGCGAAAGAAATAAGGTAACATCCACTGAGTGAATACGCCTCTGTCAACAATAAATATACACATATATGGTAAATATAAAAACATTTATTAAGGTGTATAATGTTTTTTTTTCAAAGTGTACAATGGTTGGCACTTCTACGTATGACCAAAAACAATTCAAGAAAAAACTTTACGAGTCGTCTTATTTGACCACAAATTTAATTCTGGCTGGAGTATTCAATCACATTTGTTATAAGATCGAGGCATATAGAGTGTTTAACTTATCAAACTATTGAAAAATATAAACGTATCAACAGGCATGTCCAAACTACAGGATACATAAAGAAGTGTATAACGGTATCAAACTATTGAAAAATATAAACGTATCAACAGGCATGTCCAAACTACGGGATGCATAAAGAAGTGTATAACGGTATCAAACTCGGAGAAAAACATGAAAATTTTTCGGATTTTGTTATTTCGCAAAAAATGAAATAAAGTAAGATCCCGACCGACCCTATTTTATAATGTTTGTTTTTTTGGCCTAAACATGAGGCCTATATTAAAAATTGACTATTATTTAGCATAAGTTATATTTTAAAACACATATAATAACAAGGAACAATTACGATGTAACAAATAACCTTGACTATGCTTGCTCGATTGCAAAATATAAATTATAGAGTGATATCACAACAAGAATTACCTCTTATTTTCTTGATGAATATAAATACATGTAGTATGTACAGCAACAATTTTAAACAACACTTGTATGTGAAGGTGTGTAATATTTGCAGCATCAAGTAGCATGCAAATAATTCATAATAGTAAAATATTGACCCATTGTCATACATTTGTCATATATACATAAGAATATAAGCGAACCATTAGCCGAAGATGAATCTTCTATACCTAAATGTACGGTAACTCTAAAGTATGCATTTATACTTACTCTGACAATAATCTCCAGCATAGTTCGGTTTACATTGACATTTATCGTTGATACAGTCGCCATGATTTTGGCATGGTATGACTTGACATGACACTGCTTAAAATAAAATAGATATGATTACTTACGCCTTTCAATATTCAATTCTAAAACAAAACCTGATTGGAAAGTTTTAAAATGTTTGTGTGTGTGTTTTGAACGGTCAAACAAGATGTATAGACAGTAGAGGATAACAAGATACTAAAACAATCTTCACTATCCAAGTGTACTTTTAGAAATTTTCTCCCCAAATTAATACCAAACAGTTAGCAAAAAGAAATTAAGGAAAACCTGTAATTCGGAGCAGAACCTTAACATTTTTTCAAATCTTTTTTTGCAAGATGGAAATTTCACAAGTATTAAAATCGATAAAAGATAATACCAGTGTAAACTCCACATTTGGCTACTATGCAGAAAAAAAGATATTTTTGGTAAATGTAACATTTGTAATTAAACACAACGCAACCTTTTTAAATCCGTCTGAAGACTTCAAGGACAACCGTCCTTACAATATGGACATGTACTTTGTCTGCTGATGCTAGATAATTATAGAAATGGTACAGTCTTTATTTGATTGATTTCAAAATGCAAACACTTAATTTACGTTTACAGAAGTGTCACAAACAGTACAGAACAACGTGGCCTGGTGCAACGACCACGGTTAATCGATTTAAAAAGTTCTACAGGTATATAAAATAATAAAATATACTTCTCGTGTTTCAGTGATTTAAGCAACTGTTGATATTAATCCCAAGATTAAAAAAAAGGTCAGTATTAAAAATGACATAATTCATCCGATTTTCTTTGGTATAGAAATATAATACAAATAAGAGGCTCTAAAAGAGCTTGTGTCGCTCACCTACATCCTCAACAATGTAACAATTCTAGTAAAATTTATTATTAAAGGGAAATACCCTTATAAAGAGTTAAATGACATTTTCAGTCATATTGACGTATTTGTAGATCTGATCAATTTTTTTTTAAGTTCTATTTATCTTTTTTAGTTTTCAAGATGATAGGAAAAAACGCAAAAATGGTAAATAAATAAAGGCAACAGTAGTATACCGCATTACAGGGCAATACTTCCAATAATGAGTTGACTGAAGATTTAAGCCATGATGGCTTATTTGTAGATCTTGTCTAGCTGATCAGTTTCTATTTATCTATTACAGTTTTCAAGATGATAAGCAAGACTGCAAAAAAAAAATGAAAAAAAAAAAAAAATGGAAAAAAATCGTCATTAAAGGGCAATCACTTCGGTAAGGAGTCGACTTACGATTTCGGTTTTGTTGACTTATTTGTAGATCTTGTCTTACTGATCATTTGTGAAAGTTTCTGTCTATTTATTATAATTTTCAAAATTAAAAGCAAAAATTGGTAAAACTTGTCGTTTAATGGCAATAACTATTATTAGAAGTCGTCTGAAAGTTTTGATGTTTAAGACAAAATGTATATCTCATCTTTCTTAACATTTTAGCCCTGTCAGATTTTCTATGTCTATAGAGGTTTTCAAAATAAAAGGCAAACATTGCTTTATACCCCTATGTTCTATTTTAGCCATGTCGGTCATGTTTGTCGGTAGGCGAGGTCATTGGACACATTTTTTTTAAAGATGATCCTTGTAAATGTTAACAGACGACAACGGACGCCAAGTAAAGGCAAACAATCACAATGGTCCTTCGGGCCAGGTGAGCTAAAACAGAACTGTAAACAAAGTTCAAATTGTGATGAAGATAAATCCAGAAAAGCGCTTCGGATGTATGTAAGTTTTAACGTGCTGTTTTTATTTTTTTTGTATGATTTAAAATATCAGTACCTGCAAAAGTGGATACGTCAGCTTTCATTGTTGTTATTTGATTTGTGATGGTAAGTTCTGGAACTAAATAAAAAAAAATCTTCAAAATATATACCACATGAAGTTTATTGTGAAAAGGACAATATTTTATCGTATTCGCTTAGATCGATTAAGGCGGAGCTATATGATAAAGCATATACAAATATGTCTTGTTGTAAACTATCTTCTATTGTTTGTTTGTCATCCTGTGCATTGGTTCTCAATATTATGCAAATTGTAGGTTTTAAGTGGACAAACAGTGTATTATATTGCAAATTTTATATAAAAAAAAAAATTCACTTGATAATTCATGCACGTCGAAAGAAAGTTTTCAAATATTCAATAATCTTTTATTTATATCTTCTATCCGGAAAATTGCGGGTAAAGTTGGCTTGATGTAAAGAGCACCAAGTATACATATCTTTGTACAAATTCATTTGGTTCAACGAGACATCAGTCCGTATGCGCATAATCAATCTACAAATTAGATCTTAATATTGCAGGACGAGTTATGTGGACAAAGAGTTAAATTCATATTAAATTTTAACAAACATTATGTATTCCTTCACCTTGTGGGCGCCAGGCCGGATTTTCAAATATTTGGCCTCGAGCATCACTGAAGAGCCATTTATTGTCGAAATGCGCACCTGGTGTAGAAATTTGTACCGTTAATGTTATTCGGGCACTTACACTTTAATTTGATATGAATATGAAACCTGCTTTGTCATGAACCAACACACGGAGCCGGTTTTGAAAGCTCACAATGTAACACATACTTACGGGAAAAGCAGGACTAGATACCAGTTTTAAAGTCTTTGTGCTTGGTTTAGTCTAATAAGACCCGGCAGAGATTGAACCCTTCCACAGTAGATGCGAGCATGTTAACACAACACTAACCAGTTGGTTGAAATGCAGAAAAATTGTATTTTACATTTATACATTAAACATTACCTGCATCAGTTGATCCGTCAGCTTTCACTGTTGTTATTATTTGGTTGGTGATGAAAGGTCCTGAAACTAAAAAAAACTAATCTTCGAAAATGTATACTGTATGAGTTTATTCCTAAGGCGCTCTTATTCCCTTGAAATATGATGCTGATACATGTATAAATACCGTTGATCAATTCGGAGCTTCATTACAGTAGAAAAGTCAATATAAGAATCTAGTATACTGAATACAAAATCGTTCAATTAAAATTTTCAGTATTTCGCAAATGCACAGTAACCTTGGTTATGGAGTCAGTCATGCAGAATTATTCAGTCCCTCTCCGTACTCAATATCTCATTTTTGCGAGTGACTTAACCGTTAGGAACACAAACATACTTGTAATTAACATTTTTGTAAATGTAGATTAAGTCTATAATCTTCGATTTCAGGTATAATTGATTAGATTTTAAATAATTGATACTTTAATACTATAAACCTTATCATAAAATTAGAAAACACGTTCATTTTTTTTACTTTGATCATCGCAGCAAACACTTATTTGCATGGAAAATCATTTGCAGCAAGCTGGCAACACATTTGCAGCAAACATGCAACACACATAGATTCTATTATTCTTGAGCCCTTCTGCCAGCGTGCTGCAATGCACCATTTAATGCTTGCTGCAAAAGATAGGTGAAAGATACTAAAGGGACATTCAAACTCATAAGTCGAAAATTAACTGACAACGACATGGCTATAAAAGAAAAAGACACACGGACAAACAACAGTACACAAAACACAGCATAGAAAACTGAAGACTGAGCAACACGGACACAGCAACACCTAATACCAATGCTGGTGAACTGTTAGTTCCCGCAGGTATCATCAACTCATGATCAGTATTCAGCACTTCAGTACTGACAAGATTTTTAACAAACTGTTCTTAAATTCTCCATTGGAAATATTAAGACATCATTAAGAAACTTAGGTTCAAACTCCCTGTGGCAAAGTTAACCTTAGATGAATTTGGCTTATTTTAGGTCCCTTTCGCTCATAAAGTTTTTCACGTGTTTAGGTTTTAAAAATCCTTGGCTTTCAAAAGTTTGGGTAAAAAAAAACTCTCCAAAGACCCCAGCCTTTTAATTTTGTACACAAGACGCGCGTTTCGTCTACAAAACACTCATCAATTCGTCTTGAATCAAAATAGTTAAAAGGCCAAATAAAGTACGAAGCTGAAGACCATTGAGAGCAAAAAATTCCGAAAGGTTTTGCCTACTACAGCTAAGGTAATATATTCCTGGGTTTTGAGTGTTCCCGGTGAAGGTAAATCCAGGAAAGTGCTTCGGACGTACGAAATGAATAAAATGCTATTTTCATCTACACTACAGTTCCATGTTGTGAGTGTGTTGCGATATAACTATTTTTTTTTACAATATATAGAAAATGAGATTCATCCGTCATTTTATTCACAAAAAGAACATTGTCGTTTTTCTTTTAGAATGTTTTAAATGTTTCCCTTTTCTATCAATAAATAAAGATCACTAACGAATTACTTGGAACAAGACACACATCTTGACCCTCCCATTTCCTCCAATATAACTACTTCTATCATTTCCTTAATTACTATTAAATAAGAGTGTAAATAAACCTACCTGTCGCGGTAGTTACTGCAGAATCTATTTCTGGATCAGTAGATCCTGCTAAAGTACAAATATACACAGTGCTTAGTAGTTAGGAGTGTATTACATCTATATGGATTTTTAAAAGATATAACGTTAACCGAAGAAGCAATAATTCAACTCTTTTCGTAGGTTTTCTTTTAAATGTTCACTTTGAGATCTTCGATAATTGTTATATTCCATAGAAGACTTTCAAAATACGCCTTATTATCACTATTTGATCCTGCATGCTTCAATTCAATCGGGGCCATTAGAAGTATGCAAATTATCTTTTTCCTTAAACTAGGGTCACTTGTAAAGATGTGGTAGAATATTCCGCAACTAATAAAAGTCAATCACATGTTGCATGTTTCTTTACATTCATTCTTAGCGAATTTTGTCTGAAAACCCTTCCTCTAAACGTAGATTTTGGGACAGTGGTATAAATAAATATACAAAATTGCACAATATAGAAATCAAATTAACTAGAACTGAAATCGATTAAAACATCATTACCTTGAAGAACGAAAGTAATCACAAAATATAGAATGAGAACAAAATTAAAAATGATAATACACACTAAGAGTCAAAACGCAAACACAGTATTAACTTTCCCGGGAAGTTTCTGGATAAAGAACGAAATGAAGTTCATTCAAATCAAAATTATTTTATACATATTTATCAGAAGAACTACACATTGACATTTTGGGATGAATAATTGCGCAGCCACTCATTAAAGTAATAAATGTTGTTTTGTTTTGTTTTGTTTTATGAGGTGCAGGATTTCAGATTTAATCAATTATTATACTTTGAAATGTGCCTGCACTAGTGAGCTTATTACACATAAACATCTTTTATTACATCTTGTTCGTACAAGTATATTACTTTCTTATATTAGTGTCGTTGCACAATATAATATATATACATTTATGAAAAATCCATTCTACTTATTGTTCTGATAATTTATTCATCAGTCGATGAAATTCTAGCATTCAAAGTTTTTAAGGCGTATATGAATGCAACAAAACCGGTGAAATCCCGAAAGTTCTTTGAAACAGAAAGTAGAAAAGAGCGTTTTCAGATCCTTGTTAGCAAAACTTGAACACAGGATCTGTATTTTAATCAGATTAGGGTGAATGTCAACATATGGTCCCAAACAATTTGACAAATGTCTATGTTATATTTTAAGATCTAAATATCTTGGAGGCTTTACAAGAATAAGCAAAAAAAAAAAAAAAATAGCTCGAGGTAATTGGCAATTGATTGAATGTACCAGTTCCAATTATATCAAGATATTGCATAGTGACGATTGATCTTTGAAAATATCTGTTAAATTATTCACAACTTTTTAGACTCACGGCAATTTAGATCATGACATCTTTTAAAGACACCTGTTTGCTGTTGAAGATTTGATTTTCACCTCATAATTTCTTCTACATACCTTTGTCACTGAATTGCTGTCCAGTCGTTTTTTTTAAAAAGGACCAGAAAGATAGAAATCAGTGTTTTTCAATAACCAGATAAAGTTGACCGATCCTTACGACAATATAATACATTGTCCCTTTGCACAAAAAGGGTTAGCGTTTAAAAAACATGTGCCTGTCAAAAGTCAGTTCAGTTGTTGTCGTTGGTTAGTGTATATGTTATTTGTTATAAGTATAATTAGGCCGTTTTTTCTCTTTAAATTGTTTAATTCAAATGTTATCATACCGGGGCTTTTTATACCTTACAATATGGTATGGGTTGATCACTGTACAATTCCTCATGGTTAATTACGTTCTCGACCTATGGTCTAAGGTGTCTAGCACATTATTTGTACTTTGCCAATAACTCACCTTTTTCGTAGTACCTTACTCCCGGTTTATTAATACTTCCCGATGTATATTTAACTGAATTCAGTAAACAAGACTGATCTGATACTGAGTAAAACATAGATTGACACGATGTCTGTCGTGAACATTGTCGTCCACAGTCTATCGCTGTTAAGGTGTTGACTGAAGCTAGAAGTTTGTCGGTTGAGTAATAGTCATCCAATATTTTATTCACAGTAAAATATACTGGATCTGAAAATAAAATATAGACGGAGGCTAAAGTGGTGTTTCTTTGAAAAATATTTGATAAATTAGAAAAAAAAACTTTGCTACAACACTTTATATCTGTCTAATACTTATTGAAAATGACTTGGACGTTAACAACTATAAGTCACCGTACAGCCTTCAAAAATGAGCAAAACCCATACCGTGAGGTATAAAAGGCCCCAAAATGACAAATGTAAAACAATTCAAGCGAGAAAACAAAGGGCTTGATTGATGTACAAAACAATAAGCGAAAAACAAATATGATATACACCAACAAACGACGACCACTGAATTACATACTGTGGCGGGGTTAAAAATGTTTATGATATACAAATATGTTAAGTTAATCGTAAGCTCATTTTCCTTATCTAAACTAAAAGATGTAAAACCAGTCAAATTAACTTGATCCCTCCAAATTAATTTGAAGACATTTAGATGAACGGGAAATAAGTCAACAGATATAGGTTTTTTTCCGTCGAACGCCAGTTTTGTATGGGAAACCACTGATATCTCAATTTCATGAATTATATATGACTTAATACACTTATAAATGTGTGATTAAAGTGGACGATGGCTGTCGTAACCACTCTCTAAAGTTCAAGTGTATGACCGTCTGAACGACCAAACGGCGAGCTTTAGCAGTAAGTTTTATTTACTTGATTGTATATGTACTTTGGATATTTTCTCCAGTGCATCTTCATCTTCCAATTTATCTTTTATTTTCATCAATAAACGAGAAACAAGAAACACGTTATAGATATTTATTTTCTTAAGTGCATTTATCAATTTCAGCACATTAGTAAGTAGACTATAAAAGCATAAGTTAAAATTAATTTACATACCTCCAAAAATGAAGCCAAAGAGTTTCGCAAAAATTAAAATCTGTGATAAGTCCGACATCTCTGAACAATTAAGGAAAAAACAAAAAAATACATTTAAAAGTTAATGTATCGAAAAAAAATTGTTATATCGAAAAAACCATTGAGTAAACATAAGAGCATTAAACGGTAACGTTATGTTGTTATTAAAATGCAAAACTTGTTTTATAATGATGATATTGAAATCAATTGTGGTTGCAGGAAATTAGAATCTATTGTCAATGCTTAATGGACACTATGAAATAGGCAAAAATTGATTGGTCCTAAATAAACATTTGGTAAATATATCGGATGATTTTACTAAAGTGATGATCAACAACAAATGAAATAAACAGAAATAAATGGAAAAAGTATTCATGCATAATCGGGCCATAAATACTTAGAACAATAAAGTTTAATTAATTTTAGAAAGATTAATAGGTCAATTTTAGGTTAGTGTAAAAACTCATCATAGATACCAGGGTTAAAAGTTTGTACGCCAGACGCGCGTTTCGTCTACAAAAGTCTCATCAGTGACGCTCGAATGATAAAATTAAAAAGGCCGAATAAAGTACGAAGTTGAAGAACTTTGAGGACCCAAAATTCCGAAAGGTTAGCCAAATACAGCTAAGGTAATTTATTCATGGGATAGAAAATCTTAGCAGTTCGAAATATTTCAGTTATATAAACAGATTGTAATAATAGATACTAGGATCAAAATTATGTACGCCAAACGTACGTTTCATCTACAACACTGACGCTCGAATAAAAAAAAAAATAAAAAGGGTAAATAAAGTACGAAGTTTCCAAGTCCTGGAATTTAGTCATTGTTGAATGTATATTCAATATTAAAATCACTGGAGTAAACAATACTTACAATGTATCGTATACATAAGAAAAATGTAATTAAAGAATGCAAAAAAATGCAACTTGATTAAGAAAAGAAGGTAAGATGAGCTGTGTACATTGACAACATACCAAGGCGAGTAGATGCTCTGATTTATAGGTGGGGAAGGGAATAGATGAATTGGGGGTAAAGGTTCATTACACTACCGCTATAAAAGGTGAATACTATGTTGCTTTTTTCCGCTTTACAGTCAAAATATTTAGTCAGTGAAGAAAAAGGCTACAGTACAAGTTATCCCCTATGAGTATAGCAAGAACGAATATACCAAATGTAACATTAAAAATATAATTTAAAGACAGACAAACAGACAGACAAACAGACAACACCATGGCAAAAGAAAAAAAAAACAAACAACAGGCGACAAAACTCATCACAGTAAAACATTGAGGAAAATAAACCCCAGCACAAATCTTGTGCTCTGGGAAGATAGGAAGATCCTACTGCACTAGTGGTACCCATCCTGCTATTCATGGCATGTAAAAAGCTGGTGCTATATGTATGGATATGTCTTTACCACTTTCACAATTTGGTTGATATACAAGTTATGTGTCCACGCTTCCCTTACAAGGATCTGCGTTCGACTTTCTGTTTTAATTACCCTTCCGAATCTTATGGTACTATCGTATGTTACACACCTTCAAAACTTCGAAAGCTGAAATTTCATTGGCCGATGTAATTATTACCAGAACAGGGAGTAGAACGGACTGTTGTCAGATCCTTGTCAGCAAAACGTCGACAGAGGAACTGTACTTTAAGCCGATTGTAGCTTTTGTAGCTTTAAAGCCCTCGATACATTTTTAACTTTTACATTAGGATTTTGTTTAATGCCTTTAATCGGTTGATACATATTCGAGAATTAAGTAAATATATTGTTCATTTACAGAGGAAACGACTAAATTCTTTTTTATTTAAAGTGTCAATCAAAGAAAACAAAAGTGAAAAAAATGTATCAAAGGATAAACGTAGGAAAAAATGAATATATATTTGAATAATGAAAACGGAAACAAAGCTAACTTACAAGATGAATAAATGATAACAATCAACATTTTAATGAAAAAAGAAATGTAAATATCCATGGAATTTCTCATAATATACAGACAAAATTTTTTTTCTGAACAATGTCGTTCTTTACTTAATTTACTGTTTTAAATGGTTGTTAAAATTTTTTTGTAGTAGTGTAATCACAATTTTTTTGA